GTCCCTGTATTATTGCGTTCAGATAGTAATTACTAAAGGTTCCCATTCAGATTTCAACCTTTTTAATTTTGTTTTGAATTCAGTTGAATGAAGATCCTTGTCATATAATCTAAGTTTAACTTTAATTTGGGCTAATCTAGAACCAGCCTGAGACTTCATTATTTACCAAAGTTAGTGTTGCAAATGCTGGACTGGATTTTAGTTCTGTGTCTCAATAGAATATGCTAGATGGAAATACAAAGAATGTTAAAAATAGCATTTGGGTTGCAAGTAGGAAAACCTCATGCGTACCATTTCGGAAAACATCCTCATTTCATATTCAGTTTTAATGCATTTTATTTTTGGAAGGAACAATATTTCAATTCAGTATATTGTGTATGGTGATGTATTATTATTGGTGATATAATAATATAAAGCAACTTTCAGTGAACAGTGAAAATTGAACCATGTGATAGGTAACCATAGAATCACAGAATCATAGAATCAACAAGTTTGGAAAAGACCTCTGAGATCATCAAGTCCAACCCTTCATCCAACACCCTCGTGGTTACTAGACCATCCACTAAGTGCCACATCCAGTCTCATCTTAAAAACCTCCAGGGACAGTGAATCCATCACTTACCTGGGCAACTCATTCCAATGTCTGATTACTCTCTCTGTAAAAAAATTTCTTCCTAATATCCAACCTAAACCTCCCTTGGCACAACTTAAGACCATGCCCTCTTGTCCTGCTGCTGGTTGCCTTGGAGAAGAGACCAATGCCCATCTGGCTACAACCTCCTTTCAGGTAGTTGTGGAGAGTGATGAGGTCTCCCCTCATCATGCATAGGATGCATATCCATGGTTACATGTTTCGGGTTACACATGTTCAAAGACAAACATTTGGAAAAAAATGTAGTGCTTTTAAACCTGCATTTATTGGAAGACATAGAGACTCCTTCCAGTACAAAAACATAAGGAGGTTTTGTGTACATGCTTTACAGTTCTCCCCACTGTTCTCAGAATTATCATCCACTGTATCTCTGGGAAAAATGCATCTCAGATTCATTTAGCACTCCTGTGTGGCTAATGAAACTATGAAATAAAAGATGCCTATTCCTGCTTTGGCCTGCATGGTTAATATTCTCACATGTAAAGCTGATAATGCACCAACAGTTTTGATTGGTCATTTATCTCTTGAAAAATGATGTTTCCAAGTAGGTGAAATGTTGTGGGAATTCAGGTCACATTTCCCAAATAGTCTGAATACAAGCAGATGACCAAACATCATGAACTATGAAGGTGAGTCAAAGGAATTGCAAAAACATTCTAGGACATATGGAATAAAATTACTAGCCTATTTCCATGGCAAGGTTTGTGATGGTGACGTGGTTTGAGCCCCAAAAGCCAATTTTTCAACCCCCCCCCAGATTCGCCCAAATGTGAGAAAAGTTTCACACAGGCACAAACTCAGCATGGGGAATTATATAAAAATTTATTGCTAACAGAATGAAGTAATATATATACAACAATCCTAACTAATTTTCCTATGATAAACCAATGTATTTACACAGACCACCCCTCCCTCCCCCATAAAGTCCAGGAGGAAAAGAAGCAGTCCTTTACTCTCAAGGCCACAACTCTAATTCGCAGTAGTTGGAAAATCTTTTCTCTTTCTCTCTTCTTTGGAGTGCAGAGGGGTCTATCCCCACTTCTCTCCCCTCAGCCATGATTACTGAGGGTCTTACCATGGACTTCGGGGGAACACTCGTCTCACCATGTCTTTGCCACGGGGTACAAGGAGTTAAAGCTTAAAGTCTTTATCCCTTGCTTCGTGGAGGTTCCTTCCACGGGAGTTTTGGGGGGTCCCTAAGCCTGAGGCCACCCCTCCTTTCCCAGGTCTCTCTCTCACTGACCTCATAGCTCTAATTCGAACTACGCCAACAATCTTCTCTTCCAGTTCTGTGTAATATGTCTGTCATGGTTTGAGATAGTCCCAAATGTCATTTCTGCAGAGGCATATTAAGCTTTTAATTGGCTGAGCACCAAAAATACATCTTCCAACCATCTTCCAGCTCCAGGGGGGGGCTTTCAAACCACGACAGATGATGAATCCATAGTAGACATAAGATTTCCAACGTTTCCAGCTGATTCAACACCTAAACCTGCCAACACATTTGTGGATATTGTTTGTAGAGCCTTGCTCTAAACCTTTGTGGTGTACCAAAGCCCTACAGCCTGAAACAGAGCTTTAGGACAAAATCAATGAGAATCACTTTCTGTAAAGTTCCATATCTGTTTTCCTTTGAAGATTTTAAGTCTCATCTCTCACTGAATTTCAACACCCAAAGTCACTGCTAGTGATGAAAATTTTTGACTCAATGGACATCTACCTATTGCTTTGAAAAGGTTACTCTACAAAAGCAATTGCTTGTAATAGGTTGGTGAGTGGTACAGATTGCAAAAATGTTGGTAAAATACAATATTTGCATGCAGGTTAAAACATTGACAGGAAGGCCAACAGAAAATACAAGGCTGAAGTTCGCTGTGCAAGTATAACAGGAGACAAGGATCTTGCAAGCATGACTTAGTGGTCCTGTGAAATGGTTTTGCTTCATGAAATTATGGTTTAGGCAAAGCATGAGAACTGAAATTATAGTGAAAAAACTACAGAAAGATTCTGTAAGATTTCTAAATGTCTTACTATGTAAACATCCATTATATTCAGCAAGTTTATATGACAAAATGACAGCATAAATAGCTGTGAAGTTTCCATAATCTTTTTATGCATCTTTGTATGAACACTGTCATAATTTTAAACTTTTTATATGACTTTCTGTCATGTATTTTTAAATTACTGACACTTATGAAATCAGAGCAGCTCTTGCATCCAATTGCTGGTCTAGATTGAAGCTTGTAGTGTAAGTCATGCAAATAAAATTTTGCATATCGTCTAAAAATAGTTCATTACTAGTAATCAAAAACCTCAACGTTGTATATTTTCTCAGTCCTTGTGTCAAGAGCAATGGAGAGCAATTCACTCTGAGATTTATAGCCTGTGAAATTAAACATTTTTAAATCACTGTACGTATTTGCTCATATTTTGCAAACAGAGAATTTAATTCTAGAAAATTACTTTTGTTTTCTATAACATTTCTTGTAATGACCTCTAAAGGCCAGGTATTGATGAACTGTGTTATTGCAATAATTCTTTTTCTTTCTTGGCACGTTTCATATTGTTTCAGAACAATCTGACTTTTTGTGAGAACATGAAATGTGGTATGAATATATTTGATTTATTTCCTCTTTAGCATTTCACTCACTAGCTTACGTTTATGATTGTGTTTCTTACAGTATATCAACCAAAGATGACCTTCAAGTGTGAAGCTTGGTTTCAGAAGACATTTGTAAAATTTTAGGATGTCATAGTAGATAGTAATAAGAATATAAATAAGTAAATAAATAAGTAATAAGAAAATAAATATTTTGCTTATTTTGCATAATTGTTGACCATATTTCCTAGCTTGATCAACTTGCTTCATGGAGATAATATGGACTGTAAACAAATTTTCAGAATGACACAAAATACTGTTAAAACTGGAAATGTATTTGAGAACTGCAGGCTGCTATAGAATTATAGGACCTTGATAATTTGACATGTGTGACCTAAAAAGAGAAGAAAGAGGAAGTGCTTATTCAGACTATTTAAGACTTCCTTTTCTTATGTGCTCTAATTAAAGATTTTAGCAGTTGATGAAAAAAGTAATTTTAAAGGAGCCTTTACCTATTTAAAATTATAAAGGGTGCTAAAATTAAATGAAGGAAAATGAAGGTGTGAAGACTAACAAATATCTTTGAGAAAAGTACACAAACTGGGCAAAAAAGTAGGTAGTAACTAAATTATGTAGATTATACATCTAAATATCTGGATCTATCTCTGTACTTTTTTAGTCTAAAAAAGATAATTCTAGTACTTTCAAAATGAAAAATTTCTCTTTATTTTTCCCAAATATTTTTTTCTCATTGACCTTGTTTTTTGTTTTGCATTTATGTTGGTAAGAAAATACATATTTTTACATTTTCTGCTGACCAACCAGCAAAAACATTCAGAAAACATTAAAAACATTCTCCTAATGTAGGCTGCCCACTGTTCCTTCATTGGATTAAGCTATGGAAGAATGTGATCCAAACCAAAAGAATCCAAGGAGTAACTTAAAGGAGAAGAGAGACATCTGAATCAGAGGGTAGAAAGGTATTTTTTGCTTTGAGAGACTGATGTACCTGTGCAACAAGCTATGTAATTTAAAATATAACCAAGTGAAAGATGTATATTTTTAAGATCTTGATTTTAAAAAGTAAATAATCTTATTTTTTGATGCATTGTTCTAAGTCACTTAGATTTACTTTTCAACTCTTGACTTCATCAGGTTTCTAGATTTAGGTGTGTTGTGTGCAGCTATGTAGGTTGGTGAGCTCACTCAGCAAGGCTTTGTTTGGAAGCAGAACACAATCAAAAGGGGTTTATGAAGATATTAGCTGGAAGATAAGAATCCTCTTTGGGACTTCAGATTATGTGCATACTTGAGACACCCTTGTTATGGCTTGTTATTGGAAAGGAGAAGAATAGATACTTTCCTTCAGAGTAATCTTTATGAAAAATGTTGAACAAATGCACTAGCCCACAAGTATCTGGTATGCTCTCAGTGCTAAAAGAATAAAATAATCAATTTTATATTCTAAAAACAATTAAGGCTTGTTATAGGCAAAAATATATGTAGGCAAAATAGCATTTGATTTCATATTAAAAAAAAAGATTTGAGTAGTAAATATGGAGGATACAGAAAAGAGATGCCATCAGGTAAGATTAGGTTCATAGAGATCAGCTTTTTAATAAATGTAAATACTGTAAGAACATTGTTTGTTTTAAAGATAGGCATGTTACTACGGTAACAACTTCATGATTCAACATTGCAGATGTTCTCTTCCTTGAACAGTCCCCGCAGTGAGTAAGCAGGATGCATGCATTTGCCATCATTTCAAAAACCAGTCTCTGCAAGGCATGAGATTTGCATACTAATCGATGTTAAGGAATTTCCTGATGATGAGTAGGTAATTTTTAAATAATTATTTTACATTGATGTATTTTTGATTCTGTAATTTGTTAGTTTTGAAGAATTTAAAATACAATACCTTTTTTTTCTGATGAACGTTTATATAATTCCATTAACCTGGACATCTTGCAAGCCATAAATACATGTCGGCTTACTATATTGCTATATGTAGTGCTGTTAAGATTTGTTAAACAATTTGCCAGACTGGGAAAATTTGCTTCAGAAAAAGGGAAAACTCTTTCATACCAGTTCAAATTCCCATATACATTTAAAAGCCTTATCAGTAACTTAACTATAGTATTTTAATGTTTTTAAAGAAACTGGTAGAAATCTGTCTTTTAAATTTTTTTTGCCATATTCTTACAATAATGTTCTCTGGATGTGTTAAATTTTGATAACCTGACACTAAGATTAACACTTATTTGTGGGAAAGTAATTATTTAATTTAAAACAGTTAATACACTGCACGACATTCTTAGGAAGTTGAATAGGTCCTGTTGTCTTGTACCAAAGCCTTCTTAATACTGTGACAGTGTAGCAACTTTGCCTTCAGCTCTGAGCTATATATGATAAGAAAAGATTAGAATAATCCAACAGGTAGCCTGGGGTATAAAAATATCCCAGAATATGTGACAGCAGTTGATAAAATTCTATTCAGCTTTAAAAGACAAATCATCTTTGAGAGGAGGAGGCTCACAACTGGTTGTGTTTCCCTGAGGAGATAGTGTATGAAAAAGCATGTAATAATAGTTATTATCTAAAGATTCTATACTGAATCATGGAAATATCATTATTATCATGACAAGTAAAGATGTCATGATGTAAGCCAACACTGGACTGTGGTAACCTTTGAGAAATAACCATCCATTTCCTCCAAAAGCAACTGAGAAGCATATCAGACTTGCAATTTTTGATTGCACTGAAGAGTATCAAATTTGTTTCAAAATACTGTACCCGAACTTCAGTCCACAAAATGTGCCTTCAATAATTTGTTCTGTGTGACCTGACGCCAAGACTACCTACATTAGATTAGCTATTAACAGCTTCAGACATCATATCAGACACTGATATATTACCTGTTTAATAACCTGAACTGATGAAAGTGAGTGCTACTATGATGAAATGAATCCAGAAGACTGAAGAAATAACAACTCAAAAAGTTTTTTCTTTCTTGTCGCATCTTTATATATACAGCGTAGAAATTACGTATGTAGGGAATCTGGCAGTCAATTCAACATAGTTAGCACCACACATATACAGCAGAAAAAGACAGCATTTGCTAAAATATTTTGATGAAGCATGTGTTTATGGAATTTTGTTTATTTTTTCCTTTATCAGTAGTGTTTTGTGTTTTGCATGTTATCAATTTCCATGCCTTAACAGCTTTTCTATCATATGAATGATAGCTGTGAAGGGTGTATCACGAAATAAACTGCTGTTTTCTTTTTGTTCATTTGCATAATTTACAATATGTGGCTATCAGGAACAGAAAATGATTGTATTAGTGAGAATATTTTCATAATTTTGGTGAGGATTACCTGCGACTCTTAGCCTGACACAAGAAGATAAAGTTAGTTGCATAATTCAGAACTTTTGATGTAAAGACTATTTGCTAAAATACAACCATGCTGGAAAAAATTCCTGTCCAAGGTTGAATAAACTAAGTGTGATTTTTCTCTCAAGGGATTGCCTAAACAAAGATATGACCTCAATAAATATTAATTTTTATACTAAAATAGGAGAAAAGGCTGAGAAAAATATTCATATTTGTTTGGCATAATATCAAGGCACTCCTGTGTTTCAATATGTTTCTTTTAGTGTCTTTATGAGACAAACAGGCCCTATTGTGTAAAATTAATATATACTCTATTCAGAAGACTTTCCTTCTTTTCACTAGTGGCAGCCACAATAAATTACAGCACCTTCTGTCTATTTTTACTAACATTGCTAAATCAACTTATCTCCTGGATAACGAAAATATAAGTTTAAAATACAGAAAGTATTTCTCCTGATTCCTAATATAACACAGGAGTATTAAGCCAGTATGTTAAGCCAATATGAAGTGTATCATGTTAAAAACTGTGTGGCTATTGAAGTACTTGAATTAAAAATACATATAGTGTCCAAGGAACCAGTGATGAGGAAGCAAATTAAAAGGCCAATAATAATGGCGTTCGTGAACAGGTATTGATACAAACAAAAGATGCATAGAAACAGTTGACCGTTCTGATTCTAGTCCAAGTGTTATATGCCATGTAGGAACTTCGGGTATGTCATTGCATCTAACTCTTTTCAGAAGCTTGTAAATGTTAAAAGACATCATGTGATGGTCTATTGAAAGTTTAGAAAGGCAATACACTTCCTAGAAAGACTCCACTCCTTGTAGAGGACTGAGCGCTTCAAATAGACCTGATGCAAAGATATACTGCATAAAGCACCAACCAGAAATGTGTCATTTCAGGTCAGCTGACGAAATGAGAGCTGAGGGAGAACCAAGTGGGTAGAGGTGTAAATTTATTGTTGGCCCATGGAATGGCAGGTTCTGAGCTGCGGAACTGAAAAATATTGCTACTGTGGATACAATGAGTAGAAATCTATCATGAAAAGTGTTTAATTAAAACATTCTAGATATTTTTGAAAGAGGTAATATTATAAGTGTGGAGAACTAAAAAAAATATCTCTGAATAATCTTGAAGACTGGCACAGATTGCCTGAAGAGGCTGTGAAGTCTCTATCCTTGGAGTTACTTAAAACCTGGTTCTGGACAACTTGCTCTAAGTGATCCTGCTTGAGCAGACAAGTTGGACCACATGACCTCCAGAGGACCTTTCCAACCTCAACCATTATGTGATTTCAAGAATATAAATAAAAATTGCCATAAAAATATGAAGAGAAATTAATGACTATATAGATTGTGTGGTGGTTTTTTTTAAATAAATCAAACAGACTTATAGTTTGATTTGTAACCTTAATTTGTAACCTTAATATCCTCTTTATTTCTCTGTGGGTAGCTGACTCAATAATTAAAAAATTTTTGTGGTTATTTTTCAGCTATTGTTCCTCAAGGACATTGTGTTTTTCTGACACGGATGGTTACAGATGGTCCCACAGCAAGACCACCACAGGACATAGCTGAGCTAATGTGTGAAAACACATTTTAAAAAATGGTGATAAAGACCAAGGGAAAGGAACAGCAAGATCCGAGAACAGGTCCACGATGGAGCAGTCACACCTGAAGGAAATGAAACCTGTGGAGGACTCATGTTGGAGCAGAGGAAACAAGAAGGAAGGAGCTGCAGGAAAGAATAGTGAGAAACGAGTGTCAGAGAGAACATGCTGTGCCCTGACCCCAACCTACTGCACTGCCTATTGCCTCACCAAAGAGACTAAGCATAACCTACAGCAATAAGGACAGGTGTGGAGACTGGGAATGGGGAAGGAAGATGCCTGAAGCACAGCTGAGACTAGGAAAGGTGAAGAAAAAATGTCTTCCTTAGATGTTTGTTTCTTTTTTGTTTCCCAGTACTCAATTCAGTAATTAATGTTTTATACTAAGTTAAATTCTCAGTGTTGAGTCTGTTTTGCCTGTGATGGTAAAGCCATGAGTTTTTTTGCTCTTGTTCTTCCTATTTTTGTCCATTCCTGCTTGTGGGGAGTGCGTAAGAGGCTGTGTAGGCTGTGTGGGTGCTTGACTGCTAACTGGGGCCAGCCCACAACAATGTCATGGGTTGGCATCGTACGTGCAGCCTTTTTATTTTTTTTCCTGTGTTGCTAGTGGCTTAGTTTTGATGCAGAGGCAAAATTAAACTGCTCAACAGAAATTATTAAAAAAATAAGAAAAAATGAAATATTAAAAATCCCTAGGATACACTGTGAGAATAAATTTTCCAGGCATTCTGTAAGATCAGGATGTCGTGTTACGTTGACTTACAAAGGAAGAATCCCTTTATTTTTATTGATTGGAAGATCAGTCCATTGATAGCTATTAAAGACAACATTATGTGAGTAGTGGCTCAGGAAGTCCAAAAACTTAAAAGCACTGAAGTCTGGGAGAAGTAAGCTTGTTCTATTCTGGTAACTGTCTTCATCCATCCGCTTTTTAAGAGAGAGGTTATGTGGGTCTTTACTCCAATCCAGTACAATTACTTTAACTTCCTTATCTAGTCCAAGAAAACAGTGTAGTTAATTTTCTGTCTTTACAGAAGCAGTATTGGATAAGGAAAATGGAATGTGTTAGATCACGCATAACAGAACCAAAGAAGGAAAGTATAAAATCTCAGGTAAATATATTTCCTCCCTGCTTTCTAATGTTGCAATCCTTTTCCAGAGATTTTTTCATCTTTTCATTTTTTCATTGTTCCAATGAAAGTTAGCTTGGGCACTGAAAAAATAGTATGCAGTGGTATTCTTGATTTCATTGCCTCTCTCAAGATAAAGGAGACTATTTACCTCTCTAGTCTGTACTATGGGCTGCTCAGGAATGTTTGCACTTAGGAGGGTCCTGGAGCTGCTGAGCCAACCCTTGGCAATGTTGTGGGGAAAAGGGCTGAGATTTGACAGAGCATGTGAAGCTCTTTTTTGTCCTCTTCCTACCCCAGCCAATAACCGTGAAGCTGAGATAAACTCTTATGGAGGGAGGGGTAGGGAGATGCTTTTGAAGCAACAAAGGACTGCTTTGGGTACCAATAGATTATCCAGAATACATACTGAGATGTGAAGAGCACAGCATCTGCCTTTGTGTGACAACCATGAAATTGCATCTTCCTACACATTGCCGTCCTTGTATAAGTATCCCAGAACAACAGGTACTTGAATTCATTCTGGACAAAATGAAAATTAAAATGTAGTTCAGCCTCTACTAATCTTTAAGTTCTATCAGAATGCTATGATTCAGAAGACAACGCTCTTTATTTTAAGATCTTATTGTCTTAAATACTCTTCTCCATGCTTAATATTGGTTTCACATAAATAACAGTATGAAAATCAATGTAAGTGTGATTTAAAAGAATTTTATTAACTTCAGTGAGACATTGGGTTTAATTCTGTTCTTAGCTGTTCTATTTCTTGATTCACAGCAGAGAAAACTTTTCCTAACCATGTATGCATCCTACTGCTCGAGCATTAAAAAAAAGTTGATGAAGTTTTGCATAATTTGCTAGGCAAATAGAAATTCTAGAAGTTTGCTGCATTTGATGTTGTCTTCAGCATTATGTTAGTTTCTGAATGCATTGTAGTTGTCGGTATGTGGAAATATATTTGGTACAAAGCACAATACATTTTTGGCAGCTGGTATGTTCTCGTAAGTGTCACACGATACAAACATGACTAGTAGATAATTGACTCATCGTTAGCTGACTATCTTGTTGACATGTTTTACTGGACCTGATTTATTTACTGTTTTTGAGAAGTTACATAAATTTCTTGAAATAGCTATTAGAGAATCATACAATGGTTTGGCTTGGAAGGGACCTTAAAGATCATCCAGTTCCAAAGCCCCTGCCATGGGCAGGGACACCACCCACTAGACCGGGTTACTCAACCTGGCCTTGAATACTGCCAGATTTGGGGCATCCATAACCTCCCTGGGCAATCTGTTTCAGTATCTCACCACCCTCACAGTAAAGAGTTTACTCCTAATTCTAATCTAAACCTACTCTCTTTCAATTTTTACTCATTTACTCCTTGTCCTATCCCTACAGTTCCTGATGCGTAGTCCCTCTCTAGCTTTCCTGTAGGCCCCTTCAGATCCTGGAAGGTTGAGGTATCCACCAATCTTCTCTTCTCCAGGATGAACAGCCCTGACTTTCTCAACCTATCTTTGTAGAGGACATGCTCAAGTCCCCTTATCAACCTCATGGACCTCCTCTGGACTTGCTCCAACAGTTCCATTCATTTTAACTCTTTTGTTCGAAACTAAAGCAGATTAAAATCTTTAAAGAAGATCAACTGTGTTTTCATTACTACAGTGCTCTTAAGACACTATTGGAATTCTCAAACCTAGGAGTTGATAGTCTATTTTAACAACACTTTGCAAGTGATCTTTAATTCATGATACAAACAGGCAAACTATAGGGTTTTTTTTAAGGAAGAGTAACAGAGATGCTTTCTAGGGTGCTGTGTAATCCAGTAAACTCAGTCAGAGGGATACCCTGGCTTAGTAAACACTGAAGGGGAAAAAAGGCTATTGCAACCTCTGCAGTCTGAAATGAATGGGTACTAAGGAGATAGTCTGCTCTAAAGAAGTAGAAGTGTCGAGCTCTTTCATTCTAATTGAGTCTGAAATGGATAAGTCCAAAAGACCACAGACACAAAAAGAAAAGTTTCATTAATAGATTCTCACTATTCAGGTTACGGATTTGTTTAACATCCCTCCTCCACAAAACGAAGGTCTACCTGTGGCTGGTGCTCAGCTGCCTTGAATGTGGGGGCTCCTAAAATACTCATGAGGCAGGACATTGAGAAATTGATGTGATAATATGAAGAATATAAGAAAGGGAGAAGATACTGGAAAACTGTATTCAGTTTTCACAGCTATATAGCAACCTGGGGGCACAAGTCAACATTTTCAATGAATTCAAGACTACTGGATTGGGTTTTTTTCGGTACTTTTTCTGTGAGGAGTAGTCAATCATCACTGACTAGAGTCATCATTGACATAGACTACCTGGCATTTTTTACAGTCTGTACAGAATTCAGTCATGGAATAAGCACCAATAATGACCTGCACATCTACCTCACCTATTATAGTGTTCAAGTTTGTCTCTACCTGTTTTTCTGCCTTTGTTAATGATCATCAGAGTAATGTTGCCTAATTAACTGAATTTATGGAATGGTGAGGACATAGTGGCCATACATGATGAAGGGAGGGGATAGTCAAGGAGCACCTTCTAGTTGGCAAGGTCAGCTGAGAGCTGACTGTTCCAAAAGAGGCCTTTGTAGAGTTCTTCAGCTCAGGAGGCAGAGCGAGGAAGTGATTCTGATGTAGAAGACAGACTGCTATCTTGCTATGACCATAGTGTGTATGTAGCAGACTTGGAATCTGCCTGCAGCAATTGAAGTGTTTTGTTTCAGTTCATGAATTAGCTTTAATATTTTTCTAAACGGTATGAGAAATTAACTGGAAGATGATTTCTATCTCCACCCATGGGTCTTAATGCCTCAGAAGTGAGATTAGAACTCTCTCTAGTTCTCTGCTAGATATTGTGAGCTCTGCCTGCTGTCATAGCTGTCATAGAAGAAACACTTTATTTTTCTTTGTGAATTTTTGGCTCAAAAATATACAGAGATTGAGCAAAGGAACTCTACAGAGGCCCCTAGAACTTGCCAACCCACTATAGTCCTGGCAGAACCTAGCTTTTATTGTTTTATTATAGCAAAACTGCATCAGTTCCAAGTTACACATATGGAGAACTATGCCAGCTAAAACTTTTATCAATTACACCAATGCATTCATGTCAAGAAAATTAATTTCTCTCTAGTAAAGACATGAGATGAAGAAAAACTTTTATTTCTTGTTTACGTAACATTGTTTTCAATTAGCAGGGTCCAGATGTTCACACATTTTAAAAGCACCTTTTACACTCATTTGGGCTTCTTATTAGAAAACACCAGTGGATTATGTTCCAAAAACCTTTTTCTCCTTTCTGGAATTGAGGTTGGATTAACTGGCTTTACTCCTCACATTGCATACTGTAAGACTTTGTTCATATGTATTTAGTTTAGTGCTATAAATTCTACTATTAAGCACATGTGAAGTTCATTGTGCATAATAAATTTATTAACTTGTAATTTTTAAATTTTAAATGAGAAAAAATATTTTCATATGTTTTTGTTATAAACTTCATAGTTGTCATCCTTCTGTGGCTGTCAGGAGTTCATCTCTTGAAGTAAACCCTTTAGAATTGGAACTGAAATGAGTGCTGAATCTGGAGGTTCCTGATTACCATTTAGATAAAAATCTTCATGTTTTTAGGGAATAATTTTCCCTGCTGACTAGATTTTCACCAGAGATCTTTCACCAGAGCAGCACAGTGTCCAACTGGCCAAATTGCCTTCTTTTTATTTTCATGCATTAGGCTAGTTTTAGATTTTTTTTTATTTAAGGATAATTTTTTTGGAAATGTATTTTTGCAGCATACTCTCAATTCAGGGTAGTTACATTCTCCAAAACACTGATTTTCCATGCGTGTAAATATCATTACCATGGATCATTAGTGAGTTTAACTTACTTGGACAAAATCTTACTGAGATGTAGTAAATTTTCATAAACCCCTATTAATTAGAATTGATTAGATTTTTAATTAGAACCTTAAAGACAATAATTATTTTGAGATGTGTAAGAATATATGTTATTTTTCGGACTTTTAAGTGTATTTTTGAAAACGTGTATAGCACTTCCTGGTTTCTTTTTATTCCATGAGAAAGGCAGTTTATTTAGGAAAGTACTAAACTCATTGTCTTTGCAATCATGATACATTTTCAAAAATTTTAAACTGGACAGATTAAAAATGGAATACACACCCCTATGAGCTTGTTTCTTTTGTAGCTCATTGGGATATATCACTTTTTTGTTTCTGTGATGTAGGATTAGGTGTACTTGGAAAAAGGCAATATTTAACTACAATAGTTGACCAGAAAATGAAACTTATCCCTATGTTAACACCCTATGTTTGGGTTAAGAATACTTTTATGATTTCAGAGATAAAAAACGTGACATAGTTCACACCCTTTCTCAGAAAGATGGATTAGACAGTGGAGTGGACTGTCCAGAAAGGTGGTGGAGTCACCATCCCTGGAAGTGTTTAAGGAAAGACTGGATGTGGCACTTGGTGCCATGGTCTAGTTGACATGGTGATGTTTGGCCATAGGTTGTGCTTGACCTTAGAAGTCTTTTCAACCTAATTCATTCCATGATTCTGTAATTCTCTGATTTTTGCTGTTTAGCTGAAAATTGTACTGACTCTTATGTCAAGATTTTTTAAAGTTATGTGGGAAATAAGATCAATTTTAAGCATTCTTTTAAAATATAAGTTTTATTTTGTGTTTTACTGCATAATTGCTTAATTAGTATCTAGGTTTTTTTTTTTGTTTGTTTGTTTTTTTTGTTGTTGTTTTTTTTCTTTTTGTTTGTTTGTTGGGGTTTTTTTGGATTTTTTTTGCAGGAAGGAGGTAATACTTGCTCTACATTTGTACAAGAGAAAACAGGTAAAAATGGGATATTCTTTACTAAATCCTTATTCTTGGTCAATGTTTTTCTGAAATTGTTTGGGGAAGACAAATC